TTGGGTAGAATAGTCAGGATTTAGAAAGAGCATGATTAGAGAATTGGTGAGAAAGACATTTGGAGAAGTATTTGGTTATACTTCTTCCAATGGGCAAAGAATGGGCCAATACTTTTTTGTTCCATGTAAATGCTTATTAAAAGGTGACTTCAACAGAGGAGTTCAATAATCAAATAGATAGGATGGCCCATTCTCTGAACAGTCAGCCTCGTTCCTCAGCTATCTCTGCCATTGCCCAGTGGTTTCATGAATAAAGTGGCCATGATGTCAGAGAAGGAAGTTATGCATGGGCTTGACAAAAATGGATTTCCTAAGGCTGACCTGTCTATGGCTGCTGCTAAATTCCAGATCTACTAGCAGCAGAGACCAACACTGAGCTCCCTGTATGTCACCATTCCCAGGGATGACTAGCTAGTGACCCAGCGGCAGGTTGACTATGTTGAACCCCTTCCTTCATGATAAGGGAAACCACTTTGTCCTTAGTGGAATAGATACTTATTCTGTTTATGGATTTGTCTTTCTTGCACATTATGCTTCAGCCAAAATGTTTGCCAAATGCAGCTACTATCTGTGGACTTAGAGACTGCTCTATTCACTATCATGGTATCCCGCACATCATTGCTTCTGATCAAGGAACTCACTTCACAGATTGGGAGACAGGATCAGCCCATTCAGCCTGAGGTAGAGATAAGAAGCTAGTGACTAGCTTCTTTGCTTTTCTGATATTCAACTTGAAGTTTGAACCCCAATATCTGTCTCTGGGTTCATTTTTTAAATTGTGGTACAGTCCTGTGATTAAAGTCAATGGGAAACTATAGTAAGCCGATCCAGGCAGGATGACAGAGGGCACAGACCCTTCAGGAATAAAGGTGTGGGTTACTTCTCCAGGAAAAGAGCCAAGACCTGCTGAGGTGCTTGCTGAGGGTGGAGGAAATACAGAATGGGTATGAGAGGAAGGTAGTTCTAAATGCCAGCTAAGGCCAATTATAGAAATAAAGTTTGTATCTGGCACAAGTATTTTTGTTCTATTTTGTTAAGAATGTGTTTGTGCATATACACTTATATTAAGCAGATATTTGTGTTTTCTTTATTCATTTCTTTCTCATGTCATATAACATGAATTGAGATAATGTCAGTGGCAATTATCATGCTTAAGTTATAGGACACTAAAATACTAACTGTTCCTCAAAGGACATTACTACCTATTCTAAAATATATAATGCATTTACGACTGTACATGTGGGGGAGAGGATGACGTCCTGAGTGAGCGTGCATTATTGACATGAGCACACATGCGTCAAGGACACAAATTCCTCAGACCCATGGGAATGGCAAAGCCTTTACTGGATCAAGCTCAGAGGAATGGCAAAGCCTTCACCTGGTTTAACTGTGGATGTTGATAAGTGGTTGACCTTTAGCTGAAACCAGTGTCTATAGAACTGAAGAACTGCAGCTTCCTCCTCCACGTGACTGCAGCCTACGACTGCTCCCCTATAGGGAGCCCCTACCAAGATCAGCTAACCCCACCATTTGTGTCAAATATAATCAATGTCCAGAGTCTCAGGCCTGCTGCTGGTTCACCCGCACAGCCTACTCAATCCAGGCTTTTCTGGATGTGTGTGTGTGTGTGTGTGTGTGTGTGTGTGTGTGTGTGTGTGTGTGTGTGTGTGTGTTTTCGTTCCCTCTCACCCCAGTTAGGACAATTCTTTTTTTGTTTGTTTGTTTTTAGTTTTTTGAGACAGTGTGTATCTGTGTAGCTTTGGAGCCTGTCCTAGAACTCACTTTATAGACCAGGTTGGCCTCAAATTCATAAAGATCCTCCTGCCTTTCCCTCCTGAGTGCTGGAATTAAAGGTGTGGGCCACCCACCGCCCAGCAAAATAAAGTGTTCTTCCACATGTATGCCTGCACACCGGAAGAGGGCACCAGATCTCTCATTACAGATGGGTGTGAGCCATCTTATGGTTGCTGGAAATGAACTCAGGACCTCTGGAAGACCAGCTAGTGTTCTTAACCACCGAGCCATCTCTTCAGCCTGTTAGGCCAATTCTTAAACCATGCATGTCATGGCATATGTGGGGTAGTTACATCATGTTTGGTGAGATTGTGGATCGGGTATTTGTTTTCATTTGTAAATTAAGCGTGACAGAAAGAAGCAATTATGTGTCGATTTGAAAAGGACTGAATCTGTCATGCTAATCTTGGTTGTCAACTTGACCTCATCTAGAATAAACTAAAACCCAAGTAGCTGGGCACACCTGTGAGGGGTTTTCCTGACTGGCCCCTTTGAGGTGGGAAGACCCACTCTAAATCTGGGCTACACCCTTCTGATGGCAGCCCACATAAAGACATGGAAGAAGGGGGCTTTTTTTGCCTGCTTGTCTTCACTCTTGTTGGCAAATTCATCTGTCTTATTGCTCAAGCATTCCTTTGCTGGTATTAGAACCTGCTTCTTCAGGATTCCAGAGCAGACAGAAGACCCACAGCTCTTAGGAGTCTTTTGGGACCAGCACCAGATTACCAGATTGGGATGGACTGAGTCTCTCTCTCTCTCTCTCTCTCTCTCTCTCTCTCTCTCTCTCTCTCTCTCTCTCTCTCTCTCTCTCTCTCTCTCTCTCTCTCTCTCTCAGTCTCTGTCTCTCTCTGTCTCTGTCTCTGTCTCTGTCTCTCTCTCTCTCTCTCTCGATCTGTGTATGTGTCTAATACACAGGGATATGCTGGAAAGCCAAGGATTAATTGCCAAAGTGTCAGTCAAATATGTTTCCAGACTGTCCTGGCTGACAGGAGTGCCCCGATGGAACTGTTTTATCAAATGCATGTGCCGTCTCCTCCGGCATGGCTATCTGTAAAGTTTAAGTAGTCCTTATTTTCAATCTTAATCAAGCCATTTTGTGTTTTGAGTAATTGGGTTCCCATTTATTTACAGGCAGGGAATTAATGCAGCTTGTCATAATTGTTAGTTCTATCCCCTTACACCCCGTTTAAGTTGCTATTTTTGCTTCTCTGTCTGCTCTGTGGTTACCTTTGGCAGTAACAGCATTTCCCTGTTGTAACTTGCGGGGAGACAGATAATTTTAACCACATTATCAGCAATAGCAGCCAGAAGCGTGAAGATCTCTATCTATCTAAAGATCTGATCCAGGAGCATCAAAATACGTTTTCGTTTTTTAAAAATTTTAATCTCCCCCCTTTTCTCATTGTAAGCTACATATCTATCCCATACCTGTTTAGCAATGGTGTAGAACCCCCATATAACTTAATGTATCATATACATTAGGTTTTTTGTATACATAGTTTACATTAGTTTTAATTGTATACATATTGTAACCATATAGCTTAAGTATTGTATCACATATACTCTGAGACCCCTAGTGACTTCCCGTATCATAGGATGCACATTGATTAGAGTCTAATCCCAGAAGACTACATGACCTTTCTAATCAAAAGGACAGGACACTGATCAGAGAGGTCTCATTGTCCCCTGAATCCTGGATCACATGAATCTCAAGGATCAAAATATTAGGTATCCTCTTTGACCCTCTTGTCCCTTTTTATGTAGGCTTTCAGGATTTGCTGAACACCCAGAGGACAGCTTTATTGGTCTTATTCTTTAAACTCTGTATAGCATTTAGACAAAGTCTAAGAAAAGCAACCCAAAGAATTTTAAATAAATAAGTCTTGGCTTCAGTATGGCTCAGGTTTCCCAAGTGGCTAAAGTTTAACAAAGTTATCAAAAACTTGAGTATCTGAATTAAACACACTTTTTCTGTTAGTATCTGTTACCACAGATAGATCATTATAACCTTAGGCATTTTGATAAACTTTAATTATTAAACATATATCAGCCTTAGATTCCATTCTCTATTAGCCATCTATAATTTATCTAGAACTTTTATGACTTGGCTTGGATTCTATGGTTTTGTCTGTGTGTGTGTGTGTGTGTGTGTGTGTGAGTGTGTGTGTGTGTGTGTGTGTGTGTCTGTGTCTGTGTATGTGTACATTAAGGGCTTCTTGGAGTCAGGCCTGCGCTTTAAGGAAGCCATTGACTAGGCCAGCAGAACTTTAAGGTTCCTTTTAAGGAAGCTTTCAGCTAAAAGAGACAGAGAGTCGGTAGAACCAGCCGTGTCTTGTCATCGGTCTATGTAGGAGAATGGATCAGGATGCCCTGCTCCCACTGTGACAACTTTGTCCTCTTTGTTGGCTCTTCCCTTTTCTAATGACCCCTCAGTAGCCATCTCATCTCGGACAATGGGCAATCTATTTTACAGAAGGTCCAGAGCGTTCTGGGAAACAGTTTGACCTTACATTTCCCTGAATGTTCTTAAAATTCGTTTAAGTGTGCTGGCTTACTCTGTTGTCTTCCCATTTCTTCCCAGTAGGTGGCACTCACACACAAGAGGGAAGATGGGGAAATTTTGGATAGGTTTTATTCATCCTGGAGTCTCTTGGTGTATGGTAGGTTCATGTACACCTGGACCTGAATTCTCTCTCAGGGAGAGAAAAAGTACCCCTAGAGTCATATACTGCCATTCATTTATTTAGATGCACATATCCATGCGACTACAATCCCTCGCCTACTGATTGGAAGTCACTCAGAGCTATGTTGTTCCACGTTGTTTACGTAGCTCAAGGCCTCTTAGAAGGCAATCAGTAAATCTTCTGTTTCATCCAAAGAAATCCGTTAACCATATCCCTGACCTGGTTCCTGGGACTGGGTCCCACTGCACTTTTTGAGATGTCCCAGGACTCCCAAAATGGTATTAAGTGGTCTGTTGGTGCCAGGCAAGTGTCTGTGCTTGGTGCCAGGGAAGCCAGCACCCCAATGCCAAGGAGGATGAAAGCACTGTCTTGTTTCCTAGCCAGAAAGGCTGAAAAACCAAGGAGAGACACTCAAGGATGAAAGCCAGGAAGCAGGTTATTGTATGCATGCAGCCAATCAAGACACAATCCAAAACACTGAGCATCAAGTTACACAGAGCACTTTATACCCATTTTGTCCACTTTCCCCCGAGTCTTGTCTCCAGAGCAACCCAAAGTGACATATGTTTTGATTGGCAGTGCCAAGCTTTGTCTTATTTACTTTCCTATTGCTCCACCATCATAGGCTCTAATCCTGTGGAACCCTAACTCTTCTATAAGTTACTGTGGGCTTATGGCATCTTATTACAGTCATAAAAAGTAACTCAGACAGCAAGGCTAAGTTGTTATGTGAAGATAGTCACTACTTTATGTTATGGTACACAGTTAGTACAAGAACTCAAAAATCACTGATAGAAATCTCAAAGTTATGAAATCAAAACAATATAAAATGAGAGAGACAAAGGAACCATGGAAGCAATGCCATTTGTGCTCCACCTAAGGCTTGCTTCCAGTGTACTCTGCTTCCAGTGATACCATGGCAGCTGCCCAAAGCTCATTTACATTGTAAATGCAATGAAATTCCCACATAGCAAGGAGAAGGTGTTAAGTGAAGTCTCCATGATGTCAGAGTTGCAAGCTGGCATTGGTATATCTTGGGGCAATACTGTTTTCCATAGGACGGCTGAACTACAACCTATTTCCCAAGTACCCTGTTATTTGAACATTGGGTTTGTGATGGTCTGAGAGGGCTGCCATCACAAAATATTGTTGACAGAGTGACTTAAGCAACGTAAGTTTACTTTTTCACAGTTCTAGTGACCTGAAGTGTAAGATCAAGGTGGTGGCAACTTAGCTGCTCTCACGGCCTCTCTCCTCAGTGAGCAGATGGCCACTCTCTCACCGTGACTTCACTTGCTCCCCTTGGTTCATGTTCATCCCAGGGCCACTGTCCCCGTCATCCACCCAAGTCACACCAGATGAGGTCACTGTGTTACTTCGCATTGCTGTGATCACACACCTGACAAGAAACAAAGGTTTGTTTTGACCTATAGTTTGAGAGTGCAGTCCATCACACAGGGATGCAGGGATAGCAGCAGAAGCGAGAGACAGCCAGTTATATCAGCACAGGGTAGCCAAGAGGTGGGGCCAGGCTGTAAATCCTCAAGGCTCCCCACCCACTGACCAACTTCCTCCAGCAGGTTCCACCACCTTCTAAAACAGTACTGCCAGCTGGAGACCAAGTGTTCAAACACACAAGCCTGCAGGGGTATTTCATCTTCAAACCATAAGTCTATCCGAAGACATTACTCATTTAACTGTAATACATCTTTTAAAATATGATTTTTTAAAAATTTATTTTATGAGTATTTGGTCTACATGTGCATACAGTGCCTGTAGAGGCCAGAATAGGATCATCTGAACTAGAGTTTCACATGTTTCTTGCCACTGTGAGAGTGCTGGGAATTGAACCCTGGTCTTCTGAATAGCCAGCCAGTGAGTGCTTCTAACTGCTGAACCGTCTCTCCATCCCCCAACCTTGATACATCTTTAAAGGCCACATTTCCAAATACAGCCAGTGTGTGAGGACTGTTGCAAAAGACCACAGAGTTCTGTGGACACTTGAAATACTGGAGACTCGAGGAGTGGGGACCATGGACAGCTTCTTAGAAAGGCTCTTTTATCCCCATCCCAGATGTGAAGGTGAGTGGAAGCTCGCTGACAGAGAAGGGCACTGACAGCTAGCAGTTCAACTGTGACTCAAGGAGACTCACTTAGCCTATAACAGGGTTGTTTTCCATACTTTTCACTAGGTATTTCTATACCTCATGTTCCCCTCAGTCCATGTCAACCCCCTCTCCCGAATGCCACCCGATGCAATTACAACAGTTGACGATCCCGCAGAATTGCAGAGTCTTGTGTCCAAGTGGTTTGGTAGGTAGCATACCACATCAGTGCTGTAAATCTGCTTGGAATCCAGTGAGACAAATCCTCATCTTCACATCCTTCTCTGGCATGTTGGCTGTAAATTAAAATGCAAACACTCTAGAATGAGGCCTTGCAGGAACGGGCATCGCCTACCCCACCACTGCCTCCTACCCACTGCCTTCCAGCCACACCGATCTGCCTCCATCCTCCCAACAGCCAAGCCTGTTCTCACTCCCTGTCCTAGGAAGAACCTCCAGGCAAACTCCAGCTCATCCTTTACATCTTAGATATAAAAATGAGCCTCAAAAGCCCACCTTGACTCTACTTGTCATGGCCATCGGAGGTGCCCCCCGAACCCTGGGGTTTAGTTCTCAATGGTTATTTCATTGGTTTGATCATTTAGAAAGCCTTTCTTCCACAGAGCCCAGTTTCTGGGACAGCAGGGGTCAAATGGAACACGTTCATTCTGAATCTCCAAGGTCCTGCCCAGCTCCTGGTACAAAGTGGGCTTTCAATAAATATTTACTGACAATACCTCCTGTTTGACTGTCCCTCCATCTGAAAAACCTTTTTCATTCTTGTCCATTTGGCAAATTGAGGCCAGTTAGCTCCCGTGTCTGATTTGACTGTGAGCTACTCCACAGCAGTCAGTGCCCAGAAGTGATGATAGTATCAGACAGAAAACCTAAAGCAGGACATCTCCCCCTTTGCATTGCACCTACGTGGACATCACTTCCCTTCAAAACATTAAAAACAATATTCTAATTCATAATGACTGTCAGAAGCAAAAACAGAAATTAAAAATTGGCCGTGCCCATGCATGGTGATACATGCTTCTAATCCCAGAACTTGGGGGACATAAGCAGGTAGATTTCTGTGAATTTGAGGCTAGCCTGGGCTACATAATGAATTCCAGGACAGCCAGGGTTATGTAGAAAGACCCTATCTCAAACAAACAAAAACAACAAAACTGACATTGGTTAAGATTGCATCTACTTAGGCCAGCAAGATGGCTGGATGGGTAAAGGCACTTGCTGTCAAGCCTGATGGCCTGAGTTCAGTCCCCAAGACCCATAGATAGGACATAAATGACTCCAAGTTGTCCTCTGATTCACGCCTTTAATCCATATCATTGTGGAGGCAGAGGCAGGCAGATCTCTGTGAGTCCAAAGTCAACAGGGTCTACATAGCAAATGCCAGGCTAGCCAGGGCGACTCGGTAAGATCCTGTCTCAAAAAAACAAAAGCCCCTCATCTGTCTTTTGACAAAGTAATTTTACTTTACTTACTCTAAAAAGAAAATTATTTGTGTACACCCCCACACACACACACCCCAAATAGTGTTACATATAATAGTACTACTAGGGCCACTTGTAATAACAAAAGAGTGGGGAAATATTAATGTTAAATACACTGTAGCATATCTATAAAACTAAGCGGCCTTAAAGGTCAGTAGTGTTTGCACTGTCAGGGTTTGGCCCACCTATTACCCTATTGCATAGAGTAAAGTCATAAGTGGCCCAGCAGCCTGTCTTGCTAGCAGGGCCCCTGTGTAACGGTTTCATGGGCTTCTCCAACTCATGAGTTAGGTAGAGCAAAGTACTCCTCCTCTGCCCAGAGACCCAGCCTTTCTGCAGAGCCCGGGTCACTATGGCAACTGGAGGCTCCCAGGCACTGACAGCAAGATGTGGACTAGGGTCGACCCAACTTGGAATTGGCAGAACCCAAGAAGAGTCTCTGCCTCACCAAGACCTCATTTTGTTGTCTGAGGGGTTAGGACAAAGTCAAGAGCCTTCCTGCTACCTGGAGACTGAGTATCAACTAGGCCACTAATGAGATTGGGCTGGCTGCGGACCCCGCCTCTTCCGGAGCCACTATGACATCACCATGACAACCCGAGGGCCAAGCCAAGTTGTTCTGACTCTTAGAACTACAAGAGCTTATTCCCTCGCCTTGTATCACCATGACAACTTGAAAATCTCTCAGTTCTCTTCACTGATCCTTGGAGGGTTCTCGGAGGTCACGGCCCTCGCCTCTTCCTTCTCCTAGCTCATCTTTCACCATGGCAACTGGATGCCGGTTGCTGGTGTGGGGCACGGATTTACCGTGGCTTTGCTACTGCGGGGGAGGGATGGATGTGCTTAAGGCTGCGGGTATGGGAAAATGCTTGAGCCCAGAAGAGGAGTACCCGAAGTGCTAGTGGCTGGTGTTTCTTCCTCTGGTTAGGGTGGCACGTGCGGCGGTCGCTCCCGCGTGCGGCGGGCACGGGGCGTGGGTGCACCTTAAGAACTGCAGAGGGCTGTAGCTCGAAGGCACAGAACATTCTGCCTTGGATTTCGGGCTGCATTCACTTCACTGAGGTCTCCTCCAGCAGACCTTTGTGCAATACGGAGTCCACTTGCTCTCAGTCTGTATCTGTCCTCTGTTCTTGATGACCTAGTATGTGATTAAGAGTATGGGCTCTGGACCCGAAAGAAATGATAATAATATCTTAAGGCTACTTTGAGTATTAAACAAAGTAATGGAACGAGGTATACTTTCTGGCCTTAGTTTCTGGCACATGACAAGTACTCAGTAAAATGTTAGTTGCTTCTAGATTACCATAGGCTAGTCACTTAACCCCTCTGCATTTAAAGTTCACCTTGCCTCTTTGAAAAATAGGGATAATAGTACCCTCTAACACAATTATGACAATACAATGAAGTCCCTAGAACAACACCAGGCATGCAGTAAATGCTATTTAAGTACTGTATTATTACCATTGTGCTGACTAGTTTGTCAACTTGACACAAGCTAGAGTTACTGGAAAGGAGGGAACTTCAAGTGAGAAAATGCCTCTATGAAATCCTACTGTAAGGCATTTTCTTAATGATTGTTGGGGGAGGCCCCAGCCCATTGTGTGTGGTACCAACCCTGGACTGGTGGTCTTGGGTTCTGTAAGACAGCAGGCTAAGCAAGTCCCCAGGAGCAAGCCAGTAAGCAGCACTCCCCCATGGCCTGTGCATTAGCTCCTGCCTCCAGGTTCCTGCCTGCTTCAATTGCTGTCCTGACCCTTCAGTGACGGACTATGGATGTGGAAGCATAAGTCAAATGAGCCCTCTCCTCCCCAACTTGCCTGTGGTCACAGTGTCTCACAATAGCAATAGAAACGCTAACTAGAACAATCATCAAATTGTTATCACTGTTATGTTTGCCCCATAAAGTTGGGAAGAATTGTTTTTTTTTTTTTATCCTGTCACCACCAGAGCTTCCAGCCCCTCACTGGGTTACAGGAATGTTTGCTTACAATTCTTTTACCTCTCAGTGTTTTAGACTTTCCTACAACTGAAAGAGGCCACATATAGTGTCTTTAAAAATGACTGGGCTGTGAGTCAGGTGGACTTTCAGCTCGGTTTGCCATTGGTTCTCTGTGTGAAGTTGGATAGGTTCTACATTTTCCTCACCCATCTTTAGGGTTCTTTATAGAAAGGGTATTGGCCATCTTCAGCCTCTACTGGCAAGGCAGTGTGTTCTGTAAAAAACGATCTCACTTCAGGAACTCTTAGGACGGTGAGAGCAAGGGCCAGGCGCTATGAGACAGTGATAGGTGCTGAGGAGTGTCGAGACTGGAGAGGAGGCTTCCTAATGTGTATGTTAATCTCTAGGAAAGAAAACGCCTGTATGTTTGGTTGCGGGTACAGTGAAAATGTTTCCACTCTTGTTGCAACCTGACCGTGGGATGATGAGCCAGTCTTGGACTTCCTGAACTTGCCTTGTCCCTCAGCTAAAACAAGAGCGTCTGGTTTTGTTCTTCAAAAGCCCTTTACTCTATGGAGAGTGAGGTCTCTATTTATCCTATTCTGCCATTTGACTTGTGATATGAATTTAGAAAAACATCTGAGTTGGATTTTCCTATCTCTAAAACAATGAAAACATGAGACTGTTGTATGATTAAATGAGATAATGCTCTTAAAGGGTTCATAATTACCTGGTATGTAACAAGTGCCCACAAAACAACAAAATGTTATCTGTTCTTTAAAAAGAAAAAAATACCAAACAAACTACTGTCAAGACTATTGGATTGGTAGCTTACAAAAGACAGTAGTCTTTTTATTCTCTTTAATGCTTGGCATGTCATTCAGGCTCAGGAAATATTGAAGGAATGAGCAAATCCATCCAAGACATCTTGATAATAGTGAATTTCCCACTGAAGCTAACACTATGCATACTGTGTCAGAAACTGTATTAAGATCAGTTGGCTCCTTTAATTCCCCTTTAATTTTTTTGTCGAGCCACCCTCCTCTTCCTCTTCCTCATTCTCCTGGAGATTAAATTTAGGGCCTTGCACATGCTAAGTAAGTGTTCTAACAGTAAGCTGTGCCTTCAGGACTCATTTGTGTTTTGAGATGGGGTTTTCCTAAATTGCCCTGGCTGGCCTTGAACTTGTAATCCTGCTTCAGCCTACTGAGCAACTAGTACTGTATATAGTTCTACATTACCAGGTATGGCTTGTGTCTGGCTTTCTGATTTGACTCTTGAAGCATCATTGATTTTCAGAATCTTTAGAGTCCAGAAGCTAAAATTCACGTCTCCTGCAGATTTCTAGATGGTTTTTTCACCATGTGCCTAGTGACATGAAAGCATCTTGTTTGCTTGCAGTTTTGGCAATCATGAATGAATTTTTCTAGACACATCTACGTACATGGGGTTTGTTTTACTTTCTTGTTTTGTAAACAGTGTTGCTGTGGAGCTAAGGGTGATCTCAGGCACATAATCCTGCCTCAGCCTCTTTAATACTACCATTGCAGACATTATAGGCACCAGGACCTGTTAAACATGCAGTTTGGTGTGGACATGTTTCAAGTGCAATTGTAATACCATATTTTGTTTTGTTTGAAATTGCCAGGGTCTTCCCATGTGACTTCCACTCTGTCAGCGAATTAGAGTTTCAGGTGTTAGAAATGGGTCTAGGGTCACAAGAAAATGACCACATAATCCAAACATTTAGGCAAGGCAAAAGCTTTACTTCTGCAGAGAGTTCATAGCCATGCCAGATCAAGCAGGCCGGCAAGCACAGCCAGTAGAGACCTGGTGGGTTTTGATTCCTAAAAAAATGGGTCCTGTGCTCCATCCTGAGTGGTCCAAGCTCAGCTTTGCATTCTTACAAGGCTGATGACAAGCAACTGATAAGCATAATGCAGTCTGGAGCACCTCCTGCAGTCTGGAGCACCTTAGTAGTCTTGAGCACCTCCTGCAGTCTTGAGCATGTATATTTTGATTTCAAGAAGTGTTGACGCTGGAGGGATTTGAATTTCTTCCAAATGACTTCTCTACAGTTTTTGTTTTGTTTTGTTTTGAGACAGGCCTGGAACTCATTTCATGACCAGGCTGGCCTCAAACTCACAAAGATCCCTCTGCCTCCCAAGTGCTGGGATTAAAGACGTGGTAGTACCACGTCTGGGTACAATTTTTTAAAGTGAACTTTTTGTCTTATTTAACCCTTTGATAGAAAATACAATGCATCTCTTTTACCTTTCCAATGCAGAGAGTGTGGTGTTATCAGTGTTTCATATTTTGCCTTTCTGGGAAATGTGTTGAGTTTGTCTCATTTCATTAGGAAAACAAAAGCTTTCTCAAAACTCACTATAAAACTCAACCCAGTCATCTACTGCATGAACAAAGCTATATTATACAACTGTTCCATGACAAAAAGGAGCCTAGACTATCAGGTCTATATTTAGGCTTATAATCTTTTTGGTAGAGGCCAGGTAGAAGTCCTGGTTGCGTTTCTGATGTTGTGATGGAATATCCCGAGAAAAGCAGCATCCAGGAAGCAGGGTTTCCATGACATAGAGTTCCAGGTTATCATCTGTTCTCTCTGTTGCTGTCATAAACACCATGACTAAGAGCAATGGTGGGAAGGTTTATTTAGCTCACACTTCCCCATGAGGCTCCTTAGAGAAGGCACTCAAGCAGGGGCGGGAAGTAGGAACTGAAGCGAGACTACGGGGGAGTGCAGTTTACTGGCTTGTTGTCTGGCTCATATCCATCTATTTTTCTTGTACAGCCCAGCCCACCTTCCTGAAGATGCCAACACCCACAGTGGGCCGTGCCCTGCTACATAAATTAGCAATAAAGACATGCCCACAGGCCAGTCTAGTGGAAGTAGATACTCTTTCAGATAACTGTGGCTCTGTCAAGTTGACAGCAGAAGCTAACCAGGAGACCCCATCCTTTGCCAACTGACACAAAAATATGCCTCACATTGCTACGGTAAAATACAATACAGCTTTGGAAGTTTCACGGTCTTTTAAAACGCCCATGTCTGTTTAAAAATTCAGTCTCTTAGCTGTGGGCTCTTCTGAAATACAAACTGGAGTTTCATGCTTTTTTATTCCAAAAGTAAAGGATTTGGGCATAGGAATTATCAGATTAAAGCAAAGGTCTGATCCAGTGTAGCCCAGAGTCCCCCATGTGATCCTCATGATCACGCTTGGGTGCAGCCCAGAGTCCCCCATGTGACCCTCATGATCACGCTTGGGTGGCTGGGCTCCACTTCTCCAGTCTGCCATGGCAGCACACAAAGCTTGTCGTGCAGGCTCGGGCCAGCTCTGCCCTGACAGCTGCCCCTGTCTTTGGTGGGCATCCCGCAGGACTAGAATCTTCAGGGTGTACCTTCATAATGGCCTCTCTCTGGGGACTCTGACTGCCACACCGTGGTAAGGCTAAGCTTCTCTCTGTGACCCTTCAATCCTGCAGCTTCCTCGCTGCCAAAGGCAGTCTCTTGTGGTAGACTTACACATTGCCAGACTCAGCTAGCAGCTTGTGGTGTAGCTTTGCCCCCCGACCCCCCAGACCACAGCTTCTGTGTGTGAACTGACTCTGAGG